CTGGACACAGGCTCAGTGACCACAGCCTGGCCATAGAAACTGGACACAGGCAGACCTGGCTGCCCAGAGAGGACAGGCTCAGTGACCACAGCCTGGCCAGAGAGACTGGACACAGGCAGACCTGACTGCCCAGAGAGGACAGGCTCAGTGACCACAGCCTGGCCAGAGAAACTGGACACAGGCAGGCCTGGCTGTCCGGAGAGGACTGGCTCAGTGCCCACAGCCTGGCTAGAGAAACTGGACACAGGAAGAGCTGGATATCAGGGAGACAGAGGGAGAGGGGGGGACAGTGAGGGAGGGGATCAAGGCTGAGAGAGAGATTTGTTCTATATTTCCCAGTCCCTGGAGTTTGCCTGACCCAGTATTAACAGAGCGTACTAGGAGGAGAAGGAGGGAAAAGTTTGTTTCCAAAGCACCTGAAAGTTATAGACACCTTGGTCCACTAGCACTTGTGTCATTTATCACTGGAACTTTTTTCATCTCCGCTTTTGGAAATATCAGGGACCCAATTTAAATACTTTCCTGCTTCTTCAGACAATCTGCTGATCCTCAAGGCTGTGTTTTTCCAAAGAGGAACATTTTCCCAGGAATGTCCTGAATATACAGAGTGTGTGTGAGAGTGAGTGTGTGTGTCAGTGTGTGCACTTGAGTGCTTGTGTGTTGCATGTGTGTGCATGTGTGTGTGTTTGTGACTGTGTGTGTGCATTGGAGTGCTTGTGTGTGTGTTGTCTGTGACTGTCTGCACAGCAGTGTGTGTGTTAAATGTGCGTGAGTTTGTGTGAGTGTGTGCATGTGTGTGTGGGAGTGTTTCTGTGTGTGCACAGGAGTTTGTGTGTGTGCGTGTCTGTGCATGGGAGTGTGTGTGAATGTGTGTGTGCACAGGAGTGTGTGTGTTGCATATGCATGAGTTTGTGAGTGTGTGTGTGTCAGGAAACGGAGCCTGTTGGACCTGCGTTGGGCCTTCAGGTTGGGCATATATAGCTACGCTCTTACAGGAGGGAGTTTCCTGTGAGTCCGCTGCCTGCTTGTGCTCCTGAACTGCCCGCGACAGCAGCGTGGTCCAGTCTGTCCCGTCTGGGCCCGTCTGACCATGTCTGGTCCGCGCTGGACCCATCTGACTAGCTGTGGTTGTTGGATTGGCAGTGCAGTCCATCCGGAATGTTTTGTTCCCGGGATCCCGAGTGGAATTTCCTGAGACGGCCCCTGTGACCCGCCGACCGTGACACAGTAAATCCCTGAGGCATCTCCTCGGATTCTCCAGAAGGCTGCTGGCCCCTCGGTCTCCCCCGCATGCCTCCAGGCTCTTGTCCAGATGTGTCCAAAGGATGCTGGGAAATGCGCTGCAGAAATGTACGTGGTTGGGGCACCTTGCTCCAGACTCCCACAACCCTCTGTGTAAAGAGGATCCTGTTCTTTCTGACCTGAAGGGATTCCCTCTTAACCTCCGCTCGAACCCGTCCACTTGAAGTGCCGGAGAATCAGACTGCATTTTACATGCTGCAGAAAAAACAGACAACAATAATAGAAACAGACAAAAGTTTACAAACGAGAATATTTGGAGGATGTGGGCCGTTTGATCTGATACGTCAGATTAGGATCAGGTTACGCCGTTTAGAGCTTGAGGGAAACGGACTGGACAGGGCC